GTCCGGCCTCTCCCCACTGTGCACCGGTTCTAGACCGGTTCCATCGGTTTTACTTTCAGCGGAAAATCCTCCATCCTCTTCATGAAGAGAGGTGTGCGGGGATCTTTCGGACTCCTTTTCATTCAAGAATAGGGTCAAGTTTCGACCCCCCCCCCCCCCACTTTCCACGGATACACACACGGTTAACGTGTTCCAATTACGTAAGGAGCGGATTAAAAATAATCTCATCGCACTGCTGGCGCAGATCGTGGGCAAGGGATGGAAGATCACTTAGACAAACGACATTCATGAATATTGTCGTAAAACCTTTTCAAATTTATGTCAAACGACCCGGCGTTGATAGGTGTGAAATGTAAAACAGTGGGACAGAGCAAACCAGTTTTTTCGGAATCTGAGAGGGGGATACATTCGCCTGCGACGTAAAAACGTGAATATGTTTCGATACGGGAGATTTATCTGCGTCTTAATATACTTTGCTTACCCTTTCCGATTTTCTCAGTAGTGTCTTCATTGGCGAGATTTTTATTTGAAAATTTGCACGACCGGTGGATTCTTTCTAGAGAGGGAAGCATAAATTAACACCATAAATATACGTACACGCAAAACAGAGAAATCGTATTAGATCACTTTTCTTGCATTGTTTTTTTATTACAAACATAAGCAATGTCTTTACCCGTTCAATACTATGCAGAAATTAAATAAAATTATAATACACAATAAAATGATTTGAATTAGCATAAGAACTATTAGTCGAAGTAATTTGAGAGAAAATCGGCGAAGGTCAGATGAAAGGCGTCTTTTGGCATTTATAAACATGACTAAAGGGCTGACTAAAAAAGAAGACAACTGGCTCCATGACACTTTGCTCCGGGAGTATTTTCGAGTGAGGGATTCTGAATTCACTTTGAATATGTATGTTGTTTTCCACACTCATGACAAAACGCCACGTATCTACAGCTTCTGAGCCACATTTTGGTTGAATGTTAAGGCGAAATATATTTTCGTCATTCTTTTTTTAATTGTTTTATTTTCTTCATAAGAAATGGTATTCTTCGACATAAATCAAAACGATGAACCCTCCTGCCCAACGATTTATCCTAATTTATTCTCCCAGGACCGCGGCATGAACAAAAGAAATAAACGATTCTCGATTGATAAAAACAAAAATTACCATGAGGTTTCGTAAGCAAGGCTACTTTGCGGGCGCGACCCCACACCCCACCGTGGCTTTGATATGCGGCCTTAAAAACGGTATTTCAACAGGGTTATACAGTGAGACTTGATAACGATTGCTCGTAAGTGAGTATCAACAAGGGTGAAGTTAAAAATTCAAAAAAAAGAAACGGAAGAAAAAAGTTATTAAAGTTTGTTAAAAAGCGCCGGCTCTCGCTTCGGGGGTGAGAGAGAAAACAAGATAATACGCGTGCGGGAACCGACTTGAAAGCCCCAGGGACACTCTTTGCTCTACATAAATATTAAAACAAATAAAAGAACAAACCTGGGACAGAGATAAAAGCGACATACGAAAACGGAAAAAACCCCAAGACGTGATATATGCGGAGCGGCGTTCCGATGCCGAACCCGGAGTCACTTGTAATATAATTGGACTTTTTAACAAAAAAAAATTCATTATACGTAAGTATTATTTATCGCGGTTCCTTTAATATTAATTTAAACGTATTGCCCACTGGGTTGGCTTCAGTTTCCTCCCGCAATCGCGGGGCTGAAAAGTAGGCGACGCTCATAATTAAAAAACGGGATTTGAAATCAACCGAAGTAAGAAAACCGACAGTAGATACAAAATGACTCGCGGGAAGTTTTAAATTAAAGACGATGCAAATATTTCAAGAATCGTCCTATCAAAAAGTTATATCAGAATTAAACTCAAAATGAGATTGGGTTGATCGAGTGAGTCCATCCCTGCAGAGGTCGAGTGCTTAAAAAGTTTGAGTGCACAACGGTGGTGGAAATGATGAATGAATAGGTAGTCCGACCGCTACCCAGATAAAACAAACACACCTATAAGTATATAATAATCGGACTGAAACGAAAATGTAAAAAACAAAAATAAGTCCGTAGCCGGACAGTAATTGATCACCAGATATTTCAATTTCGAGAGCTGGATCAAATTCAATTCAACCACCTTGGAACGTTCCAACGTATTTAAACGTAGCGTTGTAAACAGCGATCATTTTTTATTTCTCGAGGAGGCCTGAGAATATAATCTTAATTCGATAGGATTCTTTCAAAGGGGATCAGAACGAGTTGAACAGTTTAATCATTGCTGATATTATTACAGGATCTGGTAACAAAATGAACGAATTGTCTTGATAAACTGATCGGGAGAGCAGGGAATTGCAAGAGCAATGCTAATAATATTTTTTTGGTGTATCAATTTATCAATGTGGTCAAAGGTAGGGTGAATTTATTGAATGATTTAATCGTCTGGCCACGGATTTCATGTTTATTCACAGAGACGCATTTGAAGGATGATTAATCAAAACATGTTGTAATTTTTTAAAAACAATTAAGTTCGCCTCAGCCTGCTTCCAAAGTTAGATTTTAGTAAGCCGAGCAATTTTGAGTTCACTTCTGCGGTTGAAATAATACAAATTAAGAATCAAAATAAATTTGATGTTGAGATAACTGAGGCATTTATCGTATAAACGACGTATGAACTGTGAAATGTTGCTTACATTAGGTATCTCTGTACATAGTTTGTAACAAACGAATTATTTTTATAGAAAAATAACGATAGATTTTTTTGGGGGGAAGGGGGGAGGCACCAAGTCGTTTCGCTGATCACAAAGCTTCAAGTTCCAAAATCTGAGAAGCGGAAACCTTGTACGTCGTTTCTACAAAGACTGACTTAACTTCCGACGATTATACTTGATTTAACTTTGAAATTGGTTTCAGGCTGAACTCTCCGACCCTCAGCTTCATCGTGATCCCATCCCTGCCATGCTAAGGAAAAACGACGTATCAACAGTCAAGAGTGGCCTGATTTCCTCCAATTAAATGTTTGTTTTCAAAGGAAGTTACAAATATTTTCTCTTGAAATTTTCAGATAATTCAGATCTGATTGCGAATAAACTTCACTCGAAAATTGAAGCAAAAATATTCAGAAATTCCCCAGAAAATTATTATATTGTCGAAGGAAATTTTGCAACGTCGGAAAGCTCATACGGCGTTCTTCCTCAGCACGGGAGATCGCTCGGTGCTAATCATCCATCACAGTCGCGTGGAGAGCTGGCGCTAGATTAAAAGACCGGTGAGCGGTGAAAGACGCAACAAATTTGGATAATTGAAACGGGAGTCGGGAACTCAACACCCAAAGGGCCACCGACGCGGGACAAAGGGCCGGAGACAGTCGGAGGGGCTCATCCTCGTCCGCGGCGACAAAGGGCCAAAGCGGCTTAGGCCGGAGGTCGCGTGACCGCGAAAACAAAAAAGGGACCAAAAGGGGATAAGTGCATTATTGGGGCGACTCGTAACAAGGAACCGAAGCGATGAGCGCCTTATTAAAAAGCAGGTTCCAGCTTTTATTAAAGGCCAATCCGCGGACGCGACAACGGTCATTATCGTCGAATCATCGCCGTCAACGATGACGTGCGCCCGTGACAAATCGACCCGCTTCGGCGATGAAGCTCAGAAGATTTGAGCTTTCACGGAGCGAGGGTCTTCATGCACTGGAAAAAAAGTCGTTTGGATCTAAGTCCAGACTCTTAAAAACATCGACAAGAAAAAATACTCTTGATTCAATCAGATTTAAGCTTAAATCAAGAACCAAGCCTCTTAATTTGAGCGGATTTCCTTTTGATTTAAGCTTAAATCTGATTGAATCAAGAGTCCTTTTTCTTGTCAATGTTTTCAAGAGTCTGGACTCTAGATCCGATGTGTTTTTTTTCCAGTGTACCCTAAATAATAATTGTGGCAAAGCCTCCAATAAATTGGGTTACTGACCCAAATGTTGCGGTAGAACCACGATTGACTGGCCGTATAATCCAACTAGTTGGAGGAGTATAACTATTTTAGGGGATAACCCCTTACACTTTTTTCCGTGCTACAGTCTCCTGTTTATGGAGCCCATTGAAGTTTGTCCCAGCGCACTGCAAGGGATGCGCATTGCTCAGCAACATTCTCCTCTACCCAGAAACGTCCTAGTAATTTTGATGTGTATTATTGGCCTGGTTTACCTATTTGTTGGTGTTTGTTACCGTATCTTTCAGAGGTAAAATTTACTACTGAAGTCTCGGGATATCACCTCAAAATACTACCGGAGGGTACGTATAAATAAGGGTTTACCTATCTGCGAAACTCATCTCCCTCCGGGATGTAGACATTCCTTGCAGTGTGCCCATAAATCTAGACCCGACAAGTAGACAAGGAAAAGAGGAATAAAAATAAAGCCAACGAGCGTGCATTTTGCATTCCAGCCACCATAGAGACCCGGAAATATGTGGTGAAAAACGAGCGGGAGGGAGGGGGTGTCGAATGCTTGATTGATTTCGTATGAGACACCTCGGCCGAGATTTTTGGGACTCGAGTCAATGTCGGGGCCTTGGCCCCCACAGACATAGACCACATGCTAAGCAGTTGCCCTATTGACCCGCGTCTGAGGTTCGTCTACAGAAATGCGGGGGTCATAGCTCCCTCCCCCGCACCTCTCCTATTCTCGCCTTTTAAGTGTGTCTGCCCAAAGCGAAAGGGGTGCCCGACCTACAAAACTGAAAAAGAAATTGAAATTTTCACTGGATCAGTGACGGATTCATCATCTTTGATTAGACTGGCGGAATGGAAAAGTGATAAAAACATGAGGGGGGGGGGAGTCACAAAAGACAAAAAGTATACGTCACTATCCTGCAAAAACCGACCGATAAGAGAGAACTTTCTGTTTGTTAGTTGTAAATTCTACGGATACAGCTGCGTTTGCAGGCAGGAAATTATCTATTAGCTCCCTGAGAATTGATTCTGATTGTGTTTAATGGAAGTTGACTTACCTTTATATTATAAGAATTAAGTTTCACTTTCGGGATTGAGTTGAAGGATGTGAAGTCTTGCCGCCTGGTGAAGATGCCACTGCCATTCATGGAAGAAATATGTCTGTAACAGAGAAAATCACGAAATGATGAGTTATGAAGCTTAGGACGCATTACAAGGTTTGGAAGTACGCGTTAGAAGGGGAAAATGTGGTCTTCATCATCGCGTGGTAATTTTTTGGTGAGCCAAAATGTTCCCAAGTCCACTGAGAGCGTAAATATCACAAGGGACTTTTTTTGTACCCTATTAAAAACGGGCCAGGTGGGAGGGGATGAATTAATAAAGGGAGGAAGTCCAGGAGAATGTATATAAAATCTCATTTCATTACTGGAACAAAAAAAATCAGCCGGCAGTTTTTCAGGGGGTGAGGATGGCTACTGATTGCTCGCCGATATTATCTGGTTCAGACGACGAATGCAAGATTTTTTTTCCGAGGGTGCCTCTGCGGGTGATTTTTTCCACGAGGATGCCGGGTCCTCAGTCCTCACCCCCGGTATTTATGGGCATTTTTTATTATTATTTATTGTTTTTTTGTTAATGAAGAGAGGGGTTGATTAACTTCCACCCCAGCCCCCGCGTTCCTGAGCTTTGAGCCTTGCAGCTTATCGTTTGAAGCATGACCTTTTAGGGCTGATTTACTGGATTCGCGGTTGTCGCATGACATTTACTTCTGCAAAGTTGAGAAAAGGGAGAAAAAAATCTTCAATGACAAACAGAGGAAAAAAAGTTCACGTGGACGCCATCTTGGCTCTGAAAAAACTCCATTAAATCCAAATAAAGATAAGTAATGATAGAATATGATAACTTCAGCAGCATAAAAAAAAAGGCTAGAACGGAACGAAGAATTTATTCATCGAAAGGGGACGATGCTTCATAGGTCTCAATTTCAGCGACTGCGGTCATATCAATCTCGGAACTCTAATGTTCAAAAACAACAAAACCATCGCGGAATAATTTTAAATTATTGCAACTTCTTAGGTTCAATATCCATGACCGATTCAATCGTTTACAATAAACATAAATGCATGTACATAGGTGCATCGTCAATGCTTCAGGCTCTGGATTTCCAGTTTTTGCTCATTTTATTTCCTGTCAGTTACAGGGTCGATGTTAGACTGCAGTCACTTATCTCAAGCCTAATGCATTTCACATGTCTTCCATTCTTTGAAGTGCAGAACAAGTGCACTGTTAACAAAGGTCTGGCAGTAACTGGAGTCAGTCACCTTGCATGTGCATGTCGCAGCGGTAATAAGATCGAAGTGTATAATTGAGACCCAGTGAAGAAGTAAATATTTTCAGAGCCGAGTGTACGGTCGACTTGCCTCGAGTCGGAGAGTCTTCGCGCCGAAAAAAAGGAAATAATTCAATCGCAAACCGGAAAGTCCCTCTCGCACGCATGAGCCGTGCGTTTCCACCCTTTGGGCCCTGATAATTACCCTGATCCAGATCCGAGGGAGGGTCTCCAGGCCCCGAACAAACGACTGCTAACAAGTGCGCCCATTGTCAATATTTATGAGGCTCGCATTAAAAGCGGCCCGGAGAAAAAAATTAACGCAAAGTATCGGTGCTAATGATGCCGGGATAAATTAAAATTCTTAACCCTTTAATTCGACTCGATATGAAAAAAAAAAAAACTGCACCAAAGGAGGGTCTCCGTATTCGGGAAAAAACCAACCCCTTTGTTTTTACGGCTGCCCAGACTATTCCGACGCCCCCCTCTTCGGCTCCGGGTCGCCAGATGCACCCTGCAGTTCATATTTGCAGTCGTGGAAAACGCCGATTTTCCCTGCCATGTGGCAAAGTATGTTCCTCTGGCGTTTTTAATTTGCTGACCGAAAAGTTCACTCTTATTTACGGTTATTTTTTTTCTCCTCGCGGAGTGGGTTAAGCGCGGTGGGCACATTAGACATGATGTGCGCTTTCGTTATATTAAAGCGGACCTCGCGACATAAATTATACATTTACAGTAGAGGAAACGCACCCACACTCTCTAATTGACCTCGTAAATCCCGTGCTCGTGTGCGGTTGGAGAGTCTTGTGCACTTGTGAACATGCTTGCGCGACAATGGTATGTTCAATCCCGGATATGTTACTATTCCTCATAGTCATTAAGAACAGAAATCATCGAAAAAATGTTTAGCACACGGGGGGCTCCTTCCGCCCCCCCCCCCCCCTCAGTCGGCGTCCTAAGTTATGAGAGGGCCACTTCTCGGATAAAGGAAACCTAGGTCAAAATTCAGATATTAGATGATATCAGTATACCGTCTGGAGACTAAACAAGTCGTGCATCGTTATGAAACGATCAACCCATAATTAAACGATTTTTGTTTAATACCTCGATGTTTGCCTACTTCCATAATGGTTCACCTCAGCAGAAATCGTTAGCTTCAACTGAAAACTGAAATTTGGATGAACTAGGTTGCTGGTATAAATATGATACGTAGTAATTAACCTAAAAGCTGTTAGAAATATGACCGTGAACTTGTAGGGAACTCCTGAGTAACCTTAAGGTTAATCTTCAGCTGTAGTTCCGAAAAAATCCACCACGTCGCGCTGCTAAAATCCGACTCCGAAATCAGTGATTATTTAAATATCACAATAGGTATCTTAAATTCTAAGACTCATAAGTTCTAGCAGCATACGTCTGGAATCCTTAGAAACAAACGCGAGCTTTGAAAGTCTAATAATAAAAGCTGTAAATTGATCCCAGTTTCTCTTACGGGATATCTGTAAGTGCGAGAGAGACAGCTCACGGTGGGAGAGAGATATCTGCCAACTGCTGAGAGCGATCAAGCGCGATTGGTTGCATCAAGGTCATCATGCTTAACCCTCCTTTTTTCTGGGATCAAATTGCAGAGCTTCAGAAATGACTTTTCACGTTGTTTTTAGGGTCAATAGGAAGAAGAATGTTATGGCTAGAACTTATAACTCTTCGATTTAAACAGAAATTCCTTCAACTTTTATAAAAGCTCAAGGACTCACGTGGAGCTGTACGGACTCTAAAACACAGCGGTGGCGCCCCCTGCGCGGAGAAATTTCTTACTTCACGCAGCTGTAGATAAACCTTAAGGTGACAATGCTTTTGGGGCCTGACAAAATCCCCACCAATCAGATTCCTTCATTCGCGAAATTTTACAGAATTAGTGAGTGTAGTTCCCTTTCCCCGCGAAGTGACTTACGTCAAGGTCTTGTAGAAGAAAACAACTGTCCCCTCCTTGTCCTCTTGGCACCATAATCTCCTCTACAAAAAGTCCTCGTTGAAGTAAAGGACTCTGAGCCACCTGCATGGCGAATTTGTTGGTCGCCGTGTTACGTGTCGCCCGGTCGTTCTTTATCAAACGGAAAGCAAGAGTGCGCTATCACCTGTCTCGTTAGTCTGAGCTGTTATTTTGTGTCGCGTCGCGTCGCCGTCGTTGTGAAATATAGATTCAAAAAAGCGTCCTATCCTGACATAATGGGTTTGAGCCTCAGCTGTCAAGTCAGCGAAATAATTTATGTATAAATGTCCAGTGTACTCTCTATCGAAAGAGTTCCTTCTCAACGCGGAGCCATTAAAAAAATCAACGCCAGAGTTTACAATTGGACGTATGTCTGCCGAACGGAACTGTGTGCATTGAGACATGCGCTCTGCGACCCATAAGAATGAACATTGTACGAGGCTCACCTCATAAATCACATAGTTCCGTTTGGTAGAAATACGTCCAATTCGTCGCTTCCGGAACGAATAAACGTGACGTCATTCCGAGGCAGTGAAATTGACTAAAACATAAAAATTTTTCAAAGAACACACTTGTGCAGTTTTTTTCGAAATTTTTTCTGACTTTAGCAGGAGATCAGAAAAAAAATAAGTGAAATTTTCACTAGAAATGGATGGATCAAGCGAGATTAAAAAAAGTCTCCTTCCGCTTTGCATTATTTTGCTATAAGCTCACGCTATGTTAATAGTGAGAAGTTTTGGCTTTGTAGCTCCAGTTAAAAACTTCTGCGAAAAATTGCGAGCGGGCAGAAAGCTGGCAGCGATGTTTTTCGGCGTTGAATGGGCCAGTGGAAAATGCATAGGATATGTCACTATTTACATGCAAGACCTTGACAATTTCAAGCGAAATTTGAATGACCACAATCGTCCGTCGGAGGTTTTTATCTATAACATTTTTTTTTTCTTCCCTTTCGATTACATAAAATATTCTACGGTCAAGGTCAGGACCATTATGAATTTCCACGATATCACTCGCGAAAATAGGAAGTCATTTCCGTTATGCCAGCTATAATGAAAGGAGTTCTTAACGTCCGCATAATTGCTTTTTTGCAGTTTTTTTCTCCCTCCCACTATGCTCGGCTCTGATGGTAATGGTTTTCCTCGTCCTGTTTTCAAGTTTAATCATTTCAACTGTTCTAGTAGCATTTTAACCGAAACTAAAAGAGTTCTATGAATGATGTTTTGGATCAGGTTTAGCTTGGAACCGAATCTTAAGCTCGTTTTTACCCTTCGGTTTCTGTGCATGGACTACCTGAATGGAGATTTTGACAACCCTCCATCATTTTGCTCTTGAACTATCAAATAATTAAAAATTGTCTTGGATTGTACCGAAGTCATGTTTTAGTCGGTAAACAAACATCTGGCCAAAAAAAAATGTCATCTGATTAAGCCCATGGGGTCAAAACTGGCAGTTCAACAAGCAGAATTTTTCGACAGGCATTTCACATGCAATTGTTCGGGCTTAAAACAGATCAATCGACGGCATCACTTTTCAAAACCAAGAATTTCAGCACATTTTAACTTGACAACATCCCCTTTTAATGAATTCAGAGTCAAAAATTGGTCTCTACACCTGAGAGGAAAAACTATAGAGATGACCTAAATGCGCTGCCGGTCCCCACATTTGTAAAAGGTGCAAAAGCTTGCTTTCATTTGCGATTGAAAGATTTCCTCGAAAACCCTACCGTGAGAAAGCACAAAAGCAAATGCTGCAAAACGAAAGCCATCCGAAAGGCTGCGTTCATTTCGACTCGCTTTGTGTTTTTCCCCCGGTCGGCGCGGCGCATGAATGTCATGCCTATGCAGC